TTGACTAAAAAAATTGTGCAAACCCGACAACCCAACAATATCTCAAAAACACGCCTAAGATTCCAGGTAGGTTGATGACTTGATGGGTAGGCAATAGGTATACTTGTAAACAAGGGAGCTTCGGGTTTAGAAGATAGAGAGGCATTTTAGAATAAAAGAAGAACTATGGTTCAAGATAATAGAAATAGAGGGGAAGTACGAGAAATAACCAGACAGAATAAGAAGAATAGAAGAAGAAGACAGAGGATTAGAAACAGAAATACATAAGAGAATGAGAGATTAGGGTTTAGAAGAACATTGAAGCAAGAGATAATTTTCCATTATCAACCAATTCTGCCTCTACCTCTACTGAATTACATAGCATGTATTTAACATTTATAATGACCTAATCTTTCTAAAAAGTACTACAAATAGGAAAGTAATCCTACTCCTACTAGAAACAGGAAAGTAATAAGAACAGAAAAATAACAAATCAAATAGGAAACTAAATTAAAATATCCCTAATATATTATTCTGCATCATTCTCCCCTAGTGACAAGAACTCGACTCCGGCGAGTAAAGTGAGGGGCTTGAACATCATTGACTAACCAACATCAAAGGGATTCTTGACATCAATGTTATGGAGGCTGTCTAGGAATCCATTCACTTCCTTGCTTTCAATGTCTTGCGGCAGTGCAAAGGTGGGAGGAAAATTTGGCAACGTTGACAACAAGCTTTTTTTTTCTTTCGGTCTAATAGAAGACAACAAGCTACAATCTGGCCTTAGCATGACAAAAGAAACTTTCCACCGAAGGAGGAAAGTGAAGGGCAACTGATGGATGATCTTGGAAGTTTTACCTGATTACTGCAAAATGTCCACAACCAGATAACACTGCAGTTACCATATTGGCCTATTAGCTATTATAGTTTCATTCATATTCTATAGCCAACTTCCACCTTGGAAGCAACCTATACAGTATACAGCAGCCCTCCTAGAAACCTAATGCAAATTGTTTTCACAATTCACATTTGTCCTCTAAGTCAGACAAACAATAAATCCCAAAACCAAGACTATCTACATTAACTCGACCTGAATAGAAACTGAACACCAATACTCGATTTGACCAACATCTATAAATCTACTAAGGTTAGATGTTCTTTCTTGCACTATTCCCCATAGCTTCATGAAATAAGTATAAATATTACTCTTCAATAATTAATTTCAGCTATTAACAAATATTTGTACATGTACATCCATTACAGAAATTTTCTGTTTTGGTTTTCTTTTAAATGAAGTCAACAATGCAAAATTATGGCCCTATGAACCCAATGACTGTCTGTCTTGAGATTTTGAATTGTTAAAATATGATAGGGTCATTGATTCTAGCACTCCCTACACAAGAAGTGAGACCTATTAAGTGAGAGAGCTAAGGAGCAGGATAAACGTATAGGTTTGGTGGATCAATGTAAATATCAAACTAGATGAGCCTACGCTGGTGTGAAAAATATTTAGCACTAATCTGAGTCTCTAAATGAAGGCCAAACAAGTTGACAAAATATTTGAAGGCAAAGATATATAACTGAAACAGAAGTATTGTAAACAACAGTTATAATTCATAGTTTTCTTAGAGTACTAATCCTCCAACTTCCAAGATACATCCTGCAAACACAAACGCTTCTCAAAAGGACATTTTGCAGTAATCAGGTAAAACTTAAGAGCTACAAATTAAAGAAACGGGACACTACCTGGCCATTAACTGTAACTTATCTCAGTATCAGCATAGTTTGAGTCTAGCACACAGTGCTTCTTTCCCCAACTGAGCACATTTTCCATTCTAAACTTGTGGTCAACTGAAAATTATTTTTACATTATATACTAATATCAACATGGACCATCTGAAAAGAGAAATATATACACACACACACACACAACACACACACATATATATATATACAACCCTTCTCACATCCATTCATCCAGATTTTCGTTAAATTCCAGACCAATCTTTTCAGCCTTTAGACACCTCCAATGGCTGTCTGATACATGTTTTAAGAAAAATTAGCACATCAACAGACTGTCAGAGGAGAAAAACTTGTCTGTCACTTGCGGTTTACTGAGCTGGCATCCCAACCCCATTAAAAGACAACACCTGTACTTTTTGTCCACGTCATACTAAAACAAAAAAACTCTCTCCCGATTCTCTCTTCCCTCTGCTTCCATCGTTGTCTCTCTCGCTGGCCCAGCTCATCATTGATGCAAAAAAAAATAAATAAATAAACCCCACGGTTCAATCTGCGATCTGGGGTGTGAATTTAGTTTGAAATACTTGATGAGATTTCATGCCCAACATGCCCCAACCAGTATACTAACTCACCAAAGTTAAATAAAATTGCGAACCAAACTTGTTTGGCTGAGCTGAGCAATAATGAATTCAACGCTAAGCAAAGATGCAAACTTGGGTGTTCGACATTCAAAGAAGAAGAAAAAAAACACCACACACAAATTATTGACTTGTGTTTTCCACCAACAGTCATCAAATAGATTCAAAGCAGAACCACATGCCCTAACTCAATCTGGGTTAAAAATTTCAAGGTACCAGAAGGCGTGCAAAGAGTTAAAAATGATCTCTCAGTTTAAAGTTTATGTTGCTGTCACAACACTCACTTTAAGAGAATGGTTTTTCAGAGATGATTACTTAAACAACAATAGAAAGTAAGACAATCAACTCTTAATAACTTTTGTAGTCCTATAAATTGTCAAACTTTCATTCATAACATTTCCCATTATCCACATCTACTGTATAAGAAACTCTTATTAAAAAGAAATCTATTGCACAAGAAACTAAAGTCCGTTGCTTCTGCATACTAAGCATGATCAGAACAAGAATATGAAAAGATAACTCTAATCAGAAATGATTTTATATGTATACACAAAGCTTATGAAGGTGATAAATTCTTCGATATCAACCTGTTAAGATCTAAATCTAACATACAGAACAATTCAAAGGAAATTATGAATAAAGCATAAAAGAAATTCCAATCATATGAAAAATTCAGGCAAGTGAACTTATTGCCTGAGTCATTCAAAGTATGTTACAGTTAAAAATGCATTAAATTGTTACCAAAAAAAAAATGCATTAACTCCACATGGAAATCATTATAAGAAATTATAGATGTCATAGAAGATCTATGGACAGTAAATCTCTATGCTTTGATACCTTCTCAACATCTTCCCAATTAAAAGTTTCCTAGTAACGGGGCACAGATCTTTATACCATTTGTTACCATCTTGCATCAACAAGACCAGTTTGCATGGATATCAAAGTGATACAGAACCCAACTTTGCGTGTTGGAGAAACACTAACCAGACACATGTAGCAGGGATAGATAGCGTCCAATCATCTTTGACAGTCTTCTTTTTGCATCATTTGAAAAAGTTTCCTTTAAATGCAAAGAAGGATTTGGTAAAGTTCATGCAATGCATGGAAGGCAACTGATCGCCTAATGTTATAGATCCAGAACATTAAAGACCATATGTTCAAATTAGAAATTAGAATTTGTGAGCTCTGTCACTACTAAGTTTAGAGTGGCCGCAGCTCTCATGGCCCCAGCAATATAATTAGTCTGTGACTGTTATATCTCCTCAAGATAGTGATGAATGCCATAGTTATCTGCTCATGCAAGAATTCCCAATTAACATTCTGATATATATAAAAATAAGTTGCAATTTATACAAATGCAAAAAATCCCTCACTAAAAAAGAATACAAAAAACATTAGCACTTAGGCTCTAAGAAGAGGTTATGAAAGGTCCCTAGTTATGGCGTGAATTTTCTGCCCTTGTACACAGATGTGCACATGAGAGAGAGAGAGAGAGAGAGAGAGAGAGAGAGAGAGAGAGAGAGAGAGAGAGAGAGAGAGAGAGAGAGAGAGAGAGAGAGAGAGAGAGAGAGAGAGAGAGAGAGAGAGAGAGAGAGAGAGAGAGAGAGAGAGAGAGAGAGAGAGAGAGAGAGAGAGAGAGAGAGAGAGAGAGAGAGAGAGAGAGAGAGAGAGAGAGAGAGAGAGAGAGAGAGAGAGAGAGAGAGAGAGAGAGAGAGAGAGAGAGAGAGAGAGAGAGAGAGAGAGAGAGAGAGAGAGAGAGAGAGAGAGAGAGAGAGAGAGAGAGAGAGAGAGAGAGAGAGAGAGAGAGAGAGAGAGAGAGAGAGAGAGAGAGAGAGAGAGAGAGAGAGAGAGAGAGAGAGAGAGAGAGAGAGAGAGAGAGAGAGAGAGAGAGAGAGAGAGAGAGAGAGAGAGAGAGAGAGAGAGAGAGAGAGAGAGAGAGAGAGAGAGAGAGAGAGAGAGAGAGAGAGAGAGAGAGAGAGAGAGAGAGAGAGAGAGAGCATGCAGGGACATAAAAAAGACTATGCGTATTGTAAAATGAGAATACCAGTCCCCAGTAAAGCTGGCAATCCATCAGTTCTGGGGAGAATTTGTCAAGTAGATTTCATGTCAACCCCAATACTACCAATTTGAAAAAAGAGACACCACAACCCTGCTACAGCTGAAAATTCATCTTGTTTAGGCAGGACATAGCCAGGTAGAAAATTATTCCAGACCCAAAACTGCCAAACCCAAAACTGCCAAATCCAATCGCAGCCGATGCAGTAAGCACCAACATGAAACCGACACAGGCCTCTTAATTTCAAGAATGTAGTAATCCAATATTGTCAAGATTACCTAAAGCCACCAATCAAGTAATACATGAAATCCAATCAGTTAATAACAGTATAATCCTTCTTGAAAAAATTAGTTTCTCTTTCTTCTATTAAAAATAAATTTACAGTATTATAGCCATCATAAATTTATTGTAACCTGATATCTCTAATCCCCAAGCATAATAGTCTTCGACCCTAGCCTACCCATATCATCCAGGTATCAAAATTATCTTCCTACTGTCAGACCACAGTCCTTTAATTGAAGGTGGCGTGATACCTTATTACTGTTTGTTACATATTAGGTATTGCACAACCTCTCACTTGGTAATAGGGTAAAATTATTGTGAGAGATAATATACAAAACAAGGGATTTGACTTTTCTAATAATGGTTACAAAGGCACTTGCAATGGCAGATTACAGAAAGCAACTTCAACCAAATATACCTGTAGCCTGACATCACAAAGGAAAGATACACAGAGGCGAATCTTCACACAGAGCATCTGATAACTCCAACATTTTTAGTGACATGGGCTTGTCACCAAAACAAGCCATACAGAAATACATCCTTAGATGATGAAAGCTATATGCTGACTCAGGCCCTTCAGAAATTACAAAACAAGACCTGAAACTTCTATGGCTGCAAGAAATAATAATCTATCATCAATTCAACTCCATTAGAGGTCCCTTAGTTATTTCGTGAACTAACGGCACGTTCAAATTCACATTCAACAAGGGATCTCAGGTTCTCTTTTTCTTCCTTTGCAGTTTAAAGCATTTTGAGCTAAAAAGAACATTGCAGTTTGCAGTCTATCAATTGATAATTTAACTAAGTCTCTTATGGCCCCAACAACCACCCCTTCATTGCTGCAAGGAATCTCTTTCTCAACCAATCCAATCATTCACTGACCACTGCCCAGGCAAAACAGCCACAAAGTCAGAGGGAGGAGCGCACCTGAAATGAGCAGTGGTTATTTGACAGGACAACAACCAAAGATCTTCATGGGAAGAATAATGGGATAACCAGAGCTACAGCCTGCTTTGAAATTAGCACAAATTTAGTTCTTGCTCAGCAGAAACTTTTTACTTGAGTATCTCCGTGTTTTAACAAAATGATCAATACAGAAAGATCAAGTAAGATTGGAAGTAACAGCATGTTATTGAGAAGAACTACTTTAACCTCTAGTAGTAATTTGCTGAAGGAGCCTAACGAGAACATTACTGACTAGCAAAACCTTTATATACTGTCCAATTCTAGTATTGCAATATAGTAGTTTATAGATGCAAATTACTTGTGGTTATTATTGAATCAGTAATAAGTCATATCTGTCTTAAAGATAAACTCATAAAACTTGAGGATGAAATATTGAATGCCGTTTAGACAACATTACAACAAGATCATTTGAGAACATAAAGTATTTTAGAAAGAAAAAAAATGGAAACATATAGACCGACTGACAGACAGAGACAGAGAGGTCTAAAGCCAGAGAGGAATCAGCATCTAAAGGGGATTGACATGCAAGTCCCCAGATTGCATGGATCACTTATTGGTTATGAGAAAGTTGCAATTTCTACAGAAGAAAAATCAGATGATTTGTGAGAGGCCAGAGCCCAGAGCCCAGAGGGCGCAGAAACTCGCACCACATATCTGAAGCATTCTAGTACATTTAATTCCTACAAAGAGAAACCATATATAGCTCTTGGCTTTCAAGATTTGCATGGTATTCTCTATGATGGTAAAGACAACTGGCTGGTACATACCTTAAATCAAAATGCTTGTCAAAGTTACAAAAAATTTAAATTAAATGGCGCAAAAAATTGAGATGGTGACAATTGCTGACTAAATCAACTAGAAGAAAAAAAATACAAGAATCCAGTCCTGCAAGATGATAAAATAGTATGGACAGGGAGTGGGCAAACCAAATAAACATATCGCATAGACTCCAGCTAGAAAATATAATAGACCTATCCAACTTATAATGTCAAACACCTTGAAGGTTTCCCATCAGAGATTCAGAATAACCAACATGGTTCTGCACTAGCATAAGTATAACAAACTAGAACTTAAGGTGACATGAAAAATACAACAGATTTAAGCCAGGAAATCATAATCTTTGACCTTAAATCAGACAAAGGACCAGAGTATCTCTAGGTATACAGTAACATGAACATGAGTGAGGAAACAAGGCTCATGATAGCAGTTGTTTCAAGCACTGAACATGACACGTGTACATTTTTGTAGGGTTTACAGGATGGACTGCAGAACCTGCTCCTGCGGCCTCCTAATTACCAACCCACTCTTGTTACTTATTGAAAAAAATATTATATTACTTGGGATACAGACATGTAACTCACTAGTACAAATTGCTCTTTCAAAAGAAAAACATTAGCAAAGACATTGAATCAAAATATTATAGAGCTGCCAGTAAAATATGGATTATTGAAAATAAAAGACAACAAAATGAATGCCAATGTTCAATTTGAGGAAACCAAGCAATGATACAAGAAATAAAAAGCTGATTAAATTACACAAAGCACCAGCATACATTACGCTATTTAGACCTTGTTCATACAATTTTCCACAAAAAGTTTCAACAATAGGAAAATGTCATTTTACCAGACGTAAAATAAAGAAAACTAGTCATTCATACTGCCAAAATCATAAGCTTTACAGAGTACATCCAGGTAGGTCACGGTTTCCAGAAAGGTCCCACAACCAATATGTGATACTTGAACCGACTGCAGCTTACCAATTTAAAAAAGAAGCAATGTTGGCTGCAAGTCCCACTATTGCAATAAATACTGATCAGAACAGCCACTTAACTAAATCCAGCCCCCATTTCCTTCCGTTTCAATTCCAATGCCATGCGCTCATTCTCAAGCTTCATCCTCTCATTTTCCATCCTCAGCTTTTCCAATTCACGGTCCCTTTTCTTACTAAATCTTTGCCACTTGAAACGCTGTTTCTCCAATTCTAACATCTCAACTTGAATTTGCAGCTTCTGTTCTTCTAACTGAAGCGATCGAGATTCAATCCATTGCTTCTGTAGCCAGGCAGCTTTTGTGCCATCAGGTAAGACTTGATTCATATCAGCTTGGGGAATAGGTGGATGACAATAAGAACTCTTGTTACAGTCCTGGGGATTCAATGAACTACCATAGTTAAATTCTTCACGGCCCTGGCCTTGTCTCAACCTCTTTACAGAGTCTTCTAAAACATATATTCCCCTGTTATCTCCATGTGAAGCATTATTTTCCTCAAAGTCTTCATGCTCATCAGTTTCCATATCCTGATCATCTTCGTCAAGATCATCATGGTGGTGCCTTCTCGGATCATCATTGTCATGCTCATCTCTTCTAAGAGCCCGCTGTAAGGATTTCTGCAATGCTGGATCATGAGGCAGATGCAAACGATTCCCATTATGGTAAGAACACATCTCCTCATAAAATAGGTGCTTTGAGCTTAATATTTTCCTAACATCATCTTTTTCTTTCTCTGTTAGGTAATCTATCACATCCAAAAGTGCCTGGTTCTCAACAACCTGGCAAGACGTGCCCCTCCCAAGCATATCGTTAAGTTTCTTATACCTTTTGTTCAGGTCATTGAATTTATCCTCACACTGCTGCGGAGAAACATGAAAACCTCTTTCTGCCATGACCTTGGAAACAGATTTCCACTTTCCCTTTTTCTGTAGAGTAGAATATTTCCTCCTTCCCCCACTACCACAATCAGAACTTGTATCCTCACCTATATAAGATACAGCAGTGATCAGAAGCTTCACCATTTGATCTGTCCACTTCACACGCTGCCATGGTGATCCCTTCTTCCCTCTATTTCCTTCAGCATGGCCATCAGTACCCTCCTCCATATAACTCGGCTCATCCTCATCGCTTGCTGAGTTTTTGGACCTCTCTCCCTTATTGTAATCCATCATGGAGATGGTTTGGTCACAATTATGCATGGTTCCCATTTTGAGAGGAAAACCCTCGTGAATCGATGGATGGGCCAAGGACCCTTGACGAGGATGAGGATGGTGTTGGTGTATGGTGTGTGGGTGTTGGGTTTGATGTTGAACCCTCATTGATCCTTCTAAATCAAGGCCACCATAGGAAGCCCCACCAGGAACCATACCTCCCTGTGATAAATGCCCTTCCATTCCTTACTATAAACAACAATCAGATCAAGAACTATTCTTTAGCCTAAACCCATACTTTACATGCATATCCATAGTCTGTAGAAGCCATTTGCAAATACCTCATGCACTCATAGATCAAAATCAATCCTGCCCATTATCTATTTCCCCCTCCTAGAACATTTTTCACCTTTTCTTAGACCAAGTATATGCATGTCCAATTCCCCCAGACACCAAAACCAAACAGAAACCCATTTGCTAAATTTCAATACCAAGCACAATTTTTTACAAGCTCAATCGAAACATTCACAACCAACTAAGAAACCTACCCAGTTCAGCAGAAATTTTAAGACAACAAGTTCCCAGAAAATAAAATCATTCCTCAAAGATCAACAGCATAGAAACAAAGCAACTTATCTGCAGGAAATGCCCACAAATCTGAGAACCTTCCAGTAATCAAGCCGAGATTCCAGGGCGAAAGATCACGAAAATACACCTCCTATCTGGCTCTGTCTCATCTAACCCAAAAAAAAAAAAAAAAATCTAGCTCCGGCTCAGACGCTACATAAATAAATAAAAAGAGCTTGGTCTTGTGTAACGCCACAGCCTATATAATACAGACACCAAAAAATATCCTTTTTACTTTTTCCCATTTATGTCAAAAGAGACTGAAAAGTTGTTTATTTATTTGGCAAGTTTTAAAAAATAATAATAATAATTGGTAAGTTTTATATTTTATTTTAACCTCACTTATTTTAATAGTTTTAGCCAAGGATTTACCAGGTTCAATGTATGGGAAGATTCGGTGGGTTCATATGACTCAAATTTGATAACCCCAAGTCCCTTTCACCATTAAATTTAAAAAATTTGCTTTTGAAATAGCCAACAAATTAGTGTTGGTACCATTTGATATGAAATGTACCCAACCGATGACCGACCGAGGGTAGTCCGTATGTGCAAAAGTGGAACCGCCGCCGATTGTATATCGCATTGTGGCGGTCGGGCCAGTTTGAAAGTGGGCCTACTGAAACAAACGGATTGGGCTTTTTTTTTTGCCCAATTGTCTTAACCCAGTTCAAATTTATGGGCTGCAATTTGGGATTTCACGACAGTTTTTAGGCCTAGTTTTGTTGGGCAGTGTTTTAGACACTGTTTCTGTCTATTTTGGACAGTTTGTGCTTCTAATTTTACACATCCTGGACTATTTGTATATATAATGCTAAACTGAGACAGTTTTGTAAACATGCTAAAATCCCACATCCTGGACAGTTTATAAACATGCTAAAATCCACAATTGAAACATGCTTAAAACATAAAAAATTGAAACCTACAACTAAACATCTAAATTCAAAATACGGCATAATTAATTACAACCCAAAAAAAGAAGTTTGAATTAGTTAGTTAAAATTCAAAAGAAAGTAGAAGTTCTAATTAGTTGCATTCCAAAATGCATAGAACTTGAGCATGACAAATTTGTTGGAGTTAGAAGAAGCACTATGCTTGTTGAATTAGAAACTTGATCCTTAACGGCTACGACATTAAAATATATATGGGGGCGGATCAATGGTATTATGCTTTTGACACAATTTTTGAGTCATTAGATTACTCCACTTTCAATGGATGAGATTATACCTGACATGGCTTTTTGACATAAAAAATAAAAATAAAAATTAAAGTAATTTTCTCTTTCTTCTCTCTATTTTCTCGGAAAGATAAATTTCTCTCAATAAATCATTTTTTCTCTCTCTTTCCTCTTCTTCTTCCCAACACGTTCTCTACTACCTCTCTCTCATCAAACCCAAAAAAAACCTTGTTGTTGTTGTTCACTATTTCTTTCTTCCCCTATCTATTAAAAAAATTGAAACCATTTTGGAGAAAGTATTAAGTTCGCTAACATCCCATCTTCAAGTTTAACCTTGTTGGTGCCAATGGCGCCGTTAGAAGTAGACTAGTGTTTCTAGGCTCCTTTTCTCCAAGCATACAACTTGTCCAAGACTCTTAAACATGCGTCTCTGAAATCGTTGGGTATTTAAATAGTATTTATGGGTTCCTTTTCTTTGACTATACCTACAGCACAAGACTTGCCAAAACACTGTGTGGTTAAAGATTCGTAATCTACAACTTCTTCTTCTTCTTTTTTCCGTCAAATTTATAATGAAAATCTCCTTAACATAGGATGAGCCGTAGGGTTTATAAGACCTAAGAATTTGAATTTGGTCACATATTACATAAGAAAAAATGGAAAAACAACATGAAAATTCAGACTATAGAACCTCATAATGTAACATGCATGAAGAAGAAGAAGAAAAGGTTTGAGAAAGGTTGTTAATTTTAGAAGGCGTGGCAATTAATGAGATTTAATTAAAGAAATTAAAACATGAATGAAGAGAGAGAAAATATATTTTATTATGTAATTAATTAAAGAATTAAGATTAATAACACTTAATCTCAGCCATTCAATGCATTCTAATCTAAAGGTTGAAAAATTGTGTCAAAACCTATGTCAAAAACATAGTGCCACGAATCCGCCCCTTATATATATATATATATATAGACGCATATCAGACGCATTAAAACAATAAAAACATCAAATTCCAATAAAGATAGATAATTGAAAGATCTTACTTGCTTCAATTTCTTTAAATTCCTTATAAAAAGCAACTTTTTGATCTGTTGGTTCCTTGTACAAGCTAAATTCTTCCGCCTTAAGCCAATCATGAGTACACACTAACGCCTCTACTATTTTTGGAGTCAATGAGTTTCTAAAAGGATCCACAATCCTTTTGCCTAGGCTAAAGGCATTCTCACTAGCAACCGTTGAGGAAGGGATTGCAAATATGTCCTTGTCAACTTTGGAAAGGATTGGATATCTTGATTGATTCCCCTTCCACCAATCCAAATGATTGAAGTTTTTGTTCCTTGAGTTTTCAAATGGATCGGCGAAGTATTTATTAACTTCATTAGATATCTCCATTTGTTGTTCCTCAGTCCTTGGAAGCAACATCTCCCTCAACATTTGAGATAAGCATCATCACCATCAAGTTTATCCAAACCCTTTTCTTCTCCCTCATCTACTGTTTGGAGAGGACCCATACTACCAACCCCTCGATACTCATTATACAAAGTGAGCATAGGTCATATATACTAGTTGTCAAATAAAGTACATTTCCTATCATACTCTTTGATAAAGTGTTTGCGCAAGACTCTTCCCACCTTGAACAAAAAGACCAATTTCTTCCCTTGACGTTGATTCCTACATAAGAAAAATATAATCAAACATAAAAAACAACACAGTAACAAAAGAAAAATTATATGACAGGTCCATAGTATTGTTTGAAAAAATCAAATATAATACACTCATGACAAAATAGGACCTCATCGAAAACTTGAAAATACAAACGTTGGATCTCCATATCCACACCATTAATTTCTACAACCTGCTTTCATATTTTTTACAAATCTAAATCGATCTTTTATTTGGTTACCATTATACTTTTCCGCTTTAGAATCACTGTAAATGTTAAGCATCCAATTGTCAATCATACTAGCATCATTCTTAGGTAAATTTGTAGTAAATTTAATATTAAAAACTTGATTAATATCATTCAATCTTCCAAGACACTTCATCAATATTTTATGATAAAGACGTTGCATTCGTCCAATCGCACAACGTATCACTCTTGCGCACCACAATTCGGTTTGCCACCACCGGTGTACACATCCTTCCACAGTCATAATTAGCTCCACTTGCTGATCACATTGATGCATTTGAAAAGCCTCAATGTGCTATATTGATGACAATGGATAAACAAATGGCTGAAATATACACAAAGGCAATGTTCCAAAAGTTTAAACATGAGCTAATGCAAAGTTTACCGTGTTTTATGGAACTGAAAATGAATGACACTTCCAAAGCTATCTATAAAGTGAGTGAAAGGAAAAGGGGGAAAACAAGAGTGACAGAAGTTGTATATGATAAATATTTCGATCAATGGTCGTGTAGCTGTAAAGGATTTGAATTTATTGGAATTCTTTGTTGCCATGCACTAGCATTGTTAAAAAGGGAGCAAATTGAATATCTGCCCAATAAATACATTTTGAATAGATGGAAGAAAACTGCAAAATCTAGACTTGTGAGAACAGTTCTCTCTTAATAAAGCGAAGTAGAATGTCAATGAAATTAAAGATTGTGAGAACAGTTCTCTCTTAATAAAGCGAAGTAGAATGTCTAGACTTGCTTCAGATGTAATTGAGCATGCTTTAATGTCCGAAGAAGGTTGTGAGCTATTGTCGAATATTCTAAATGATATGCGGGGGACGTTGAAGTTATTGAATGATGGGGTTGGTCCTAGCGAAGTTGGAGGGTCCAGCTCCCAAACACGATATTTGAAGGACCCTAAGAGAGTAAATCACAAAGGAAGCTCGAAACGAGTCAAGGGCGCAGAGGAAAAGAGAATGGAGCGAGGGATCTGATATTGTCAACAATGTGGACAAACTAGTCATGATATAAGACAATGTCCAAGAATGGCGAACACACCGTAAGATTGTACAAATATTTATAAATAATAGTTAAAATTCCAAGTGGTTTATTTTATTGTAATATTGTGCTTGGTGTTTATGCAGGACATCCCCGTCAAACAATGAAGAATCAACTCCGATCAATCTTAGTGACCCGTTATTCGATGAATTTGATAGCATGCACAGACCTATCAAGTGATTTATGTTTTTACTATACGAAGCCCATTTGCCGTCAATATTGGTGAGAATTTTGAAATATGATTCAATATGAAGAAATCTTATTATTTTGTGTTGTTTCGTTTTGTATCAGCTTTTGTGTTTTTTTTCTTGATTGATTTTGATTTTCTCTGAAGTTTTTTATGTTTCTCGATTGGTGGTGTTAATTTTTTGGAGCCTTTCTTTCTTGCTTTCTTTTGCCTTTGTATTTTTCTAATGTTAGGTGTTTTAGGATTTTTCTTTCTTTTCAATAATCTCCCTCTTGAGATATTTGACAATTCTTTTTTATGGCAGTTGGACCTAGATTTTTGGCTTATGGAAGATTTTTGTCATTGGGAACCTTCATCAATTTGGCTTTTTTTATGACAGTTGGACCTATCAACTCTTAATTTTGACAATGCGCATGAAAGGTTGTCACATCCTTTTTTGAGAATAGACATTATATACATTCGGTGTATATTGTGTGTATATTGTCTGTCTATTGCTTGTTATTGCGAGCTTATTAACTATGTATTGATTGTTCATTATCTTTGTATAGCCATTTATTGCCTTTTATGGTAATACGGGGACAATACAAGGCAATTGGGGGCAATACAGTGGCAATATAAAGGCAATGCAATGGCAAAATGAAGGCAATTGGAGGCTAAATAGTGCCAATACTAGGGCAATAGGAGGCTATACATTGGCAATACAAAAACTCCAATAGTCCACGATTTTGGTGCACGATTTTGTAAACATTGCTATCTAAAGGATACATGAAATTTTGTGACAAGTTTATGGGATTATTTTGTACTAGTTATATGTTGTTGTTTGTACTTGTTCATCTGCTACT